CGCCCGGGGGGGGTGCTGCCGCGATGGCGGGGATCTGGGGGGCCATAGGCAGGCAGCAGTGCCCACTGCTCCCCTGCACCTTCGCAGGTGGCTCTGGCCACATACAGCTACCGCAGCCTGCCCTGGCTGCTCCTCAACCGCTCCAGCGACCTGCCCGCCGTGCTGGAGCAGATCCGCACCATGCGCTATGAGGAGCCCAGCGGCAACGCCATCGGTGAGGGGCGGCACCGGGAGCCGGGGAAGTGTCTGGTGGGATCCTGCTGACCGTCCCCCTCCTCCTTCTCCTTCCCTAGGGGCAGCCATCACCTTTGCCAGGACCTACTTGCTGAGCCCTGGCGCGGGGCGCCGGCCTGGCGCGCCAGCGGGGCTGGTGATCCTGGCTGACGGCCCCTCTGGGGATGATGCCATTGCTGCCGCCGGGGATGTCAAGGCTGGAGGTGAGGATGGATGGGGTCCCAGCAGGGTGTGCGGGGAGTTCTGTGGGGTGCTGAGGGTGCTCTCGGCTCAGGGGTCCAGGTGCTGGCCGTGGGCTTGGAGGGGGCAGACCGGGAACAGCTCCGGCGCATGGTCACCGGTGAGGACCCGCGGTACATCTACGACAGCAGAGCCCTGGCAGAGCTGGAGGGAGAGCTCACCGATGACCTCTGCACCATCATCTCCACCAGGGTAAGGGACCAGGGTGCTCTGGCGGGTGCAGAGGGGGAGCAGCCTTGTGGGGGCTGGGGGCTTCTCCTACCCCTGGGTTCACACGGGCTTCTCTTGTCTTGCCAGCCGGAGCCGGAGCCGAAGCCGAAGCCCTGCACCATGCAGTGCCCCAGGGTGAGCATCCCCACGCCGTGCCGTGCCATACCGTGCCCTGCTGTGCCACAGGGGCTCAGCATGGATCTGGGACCTGCCAGTTTGCCAATGGCAGCAGCGCTGTGGGGAGCTGAGCATGGGGGTGCAGCCCCTAAGCCCTTCCCTCTGTCCCCCTGCAGGGCGAGAAGGGAGACCGTGGCGAGGCAGTGAGTGCTTTGGTGTCCCACCCCCGGCTGGTGGCTCTGGGGGGGCTGGGACCCCCAAACTGTGCTGATGGCAGCCCGCAGGGGATGCTCACCGCTGGCTTTGTCTCCACAGGGACCAGAAGGACGCATGGGGCCACCGGGCCCACCTGGCGAGCCGGTAATATCCTGATGGGGGGAGGGAGATGAGGGGCAGCTCCCTGGTAGGGGGCAGGGACATGGTCCCCACATCCTCTTGTCCTGCTGGCAGGTGGGTGCGGGCCAGGGACCCGTCCAGCCCTTGCCACAGTGGCAGACAGGGAACACCCCTTGGCCACCACCTGCCACCCAGCTCGTCCTCTCCGCTGTCCCTCCAGGGCCGCCATGGGCTGCCTGGCCCTCCGGGACCCCCAGGGCCACAGGGTCCGCCAGGAGAGAGCATCGAGCGGCCAGGCAAGAAGGGGGACAGGGTGAGTACCTCCGACCCCTCACCTGGACACCCCAGGGTCCCTGGGCAGAGTGACCTGGCACCATGGGGCCTCTCTCTGCCCCTCGTCTCTCTCTTCTCCACTTCCTCGCCCAGGCTGAAGGGGGGATCCCCTTGGAGAACCCCAGTCCAGCCCCACACTGCTCCCTCACACCCCACCTCAGCACGCAGGGGAAAGGCACCCTGGGACCCCGCTCTACCATGGGGCTGTCCTGGGCTCCCAGTGGTGGGATCATCTCTGCCTGGGGCACTGGGGGAGTCTGGAAGTGCCAGGGTGTCCTAGGTGTTGGCATGATGCTCCTCTCTCCCGCAGGGATTCCCCGGAGCTGATGGGACACCAGGAAGCCCTGGCCGCCCGGGGAACCCTGGATCACCAGGCCAGCCGGTGAGTGAGGGTGTCCCTTGGGTTTGCTGCTGCATGGTGCCTCTTCCCATCACCCTGCCCGCTCCCCAGGGCAGCCTCTGCCTACCTTTTCACTGTGGCGAGGGGTCTCTGTGGCTATCAGGGTCACTGCTGTCCCCTGTGTGTGTGTCCCAGGCCAAGTATACTGGGCAGGGACTGTTCATCCCTGCCTTGGCTGGAGCCCCC